AGCGGTCCTTGGCAACAAGTCGAAATTACAAGGAGGAACCGGGTGTGAGAGCGAGGGTGAAAGCAGCTGCCGAAGATAAATATGGATGAGAAAGGGAGTTGAAGCGTGATTCTAGAGGGCTATGAGCGGCGAGCCCAGCCCGGCGAGGAACCAGCCTCAGTCACCATTGACCTCACACCACAACTCCAAGCTGATAGGACCAACATCCAGATCCTCATTTAATGCCGGTCTGATGATTTCCCGATTCAGGCGGGAGACACATGTTGCAATCTGACTCCTCAGACTTCCTGCCACTGCTGCAACAACCAACACGCGCCCACGCGCTTCTAACACAGGGGCTCTGATCATGTCATCAGCGGCGGGCCGGTGCAGAGAAAAATGTAAGGAGCATCCGCTGGGTAATTGTGTAAACGCAAAAGAGTATTGGTCCAAGTCCGACAGTGGATCATCTAACAGGTGCTTCTCGTCTTCGCTTTCTTCGTCTTCGCTATCAGTCGAGGTTTGTGCAAAAGCTGCAGAAGCTTCTGCAATCTCTGTGTCAACCACGACAATAGAGGGTAGCCTGTCAGAGTGTAGGTTTGGTCCACAATCCAGGTCCATGGAAGGTTTATTTCTGTCAAGCTGTCTCATGTCGTCTTCAGGGTGACAGTCCGTTTTTCCCCGATCAGATCGATCACGGGTTTCCCGATTTACTGCAGCCGCAGAAGGATGGAGTGCCCGTTCTTCGATCGAGGCTATAACGGAAGCCTCACTTGGATTGCAAGATGTAAAGTGCCCTTGAACTTCGATCTCCGTTCGATGAAGCCGCATAGATTTGAGAGAGGCCGAGATTTGAGCCAAATACCAGTCGGTCTCAGTCAACGTCCGAGAGACCAAATGTATGTAGATCCGTGGAACATCAACGCCTTTATTGACGAGCTCTTGGAACAGTGGCAAAATGAATGACGCTCGATTGCCCGTAGCGATCAGAACGACCGTATCATAGCCTGCGAGCTGAGGTGGATTTCCATAGGGGCCGTTGAGGAAAACTGTAAAGGGTTTGGATGACTGATCCCGCCCCCAGCGAAACAGGTCAGATGTAAACCCGCTGTGTGGTTTGATGATCAAATCGACGTTCTTCTCTGTTCCTGACTCACCTGGAAGACTTGCGATGGTAAATGGATGTGACTCAACTTTACGTAGGTGAGGTATAGTGATGTATATGTGTTGACCAGCCTTCCAACCAAATGAGACATCTCGAACGCTGAGATGGACATATTTGTCGTCCATGAGTCGAACTGTGGCGTTGTATCCGACCGCTTGAGTTTCATTTTTGGCTTTAAAAGGGTGGATGTTGTGCATCGTCCATAAAAAAGTCCTTCCAAATAGATCAAAAGCGATGAATCCAATGGACGCGAGTACGAAGAACGTCGTGCAATGGGTGTGGGTGTAAGTAAGCCACAAGCCGAGATAAGCAGAAAGAACGTGTACCAAGAGCCAAATTTCATAGTAGGAGTTTCGAAAGAAACCAAAACCCGTTATCACCATGAAACCAAACATTCCCCAAGCGGCAAAGCCCCAGACGACCATGGGCATAATCTCAATCTCCTGTTGAACAAAGTTTGTGAGATCCCATTCGTGATAAAAGAAAGCCCAGTGTACAATAAGTGTGACAAAGACCGTTCTGGCAGCCCATCGGTGAAACCAGTTCAGCCTTTCATGTGAGATACCGGTCAGAAGGCTGATAGGATTGATTCTGCAGCCCGTGCAATAGACCAAGGGGAGTTGTGTAGTCGAAACCCATGCTGCTCGATTTCCCACCACTTCTAATTCGATACCGTAGATAGGTGATTGAGATTTGAAAATCACATTGGTCCATAGCATGAGAAGCCAGAGAATCCAGTATCCACAGAGGAAGAGTATCTCTCCCACGGGAGGAGGAGACAAGTATCTGCGCCAGCCGGTGGTCCAACCCATCTGTCGGTAGCCAAAACTGCGATACAACGCTTCAAGAAGAGCACTGTGTCGAAAGATGGAACGGACAGGGCTTGAATTCTCCGAGATCGTCTTTCTTCTCACCCATGCTGGCCAAAAGCTTGCGTGTGTCAGTGTGACCACACCGTGATAAAGAGCGAGAGTTAACACACCTCCAGTTACGCTTGAAGACTGAGATCAAGCGTCGCACAGCAATGAAAGCCACAACAGCAAGCACGATGTACCAGAAAAGAATGCGGAGAAACTGGTTGAGAACATGTTGATGTTCAGATGCAGCGGAGCCGGCGTGTACGTGTCGCTTCATGGGCTCGGTTTTCGACATTGTGTCTTTTCGCATCAGACATTCCCCTCCATGGGGTGCGAGACGAGAAGTGAATTCAACGCAACTGTCTGACGATTCAATCGAAGAGGCGTTCGATGATAAACGAGGCCGGAATTGACACCCTGGCCAAGTACTAGTACTACCCGCATTGTTCCCGGTCTCGACCTCAAAATTTGCTCCAAAGCGTTGTTGTCTGCCTAAGTCAGACCATCCCGTAATGCGCCAACCGTGTAATGCGCCAACTGCGACAAAATAGATTTTTGTACAATATTTCAATTATCGTCGCCATCGACGTCGTTTATATGCCATTGCGTACAGAGACTC